TTGGGGGGGGGGGGTCTCTTCCATGCCCACAACCCCAAACCATTCTGACCTCAGCCCCCAGGGTCCAAGCTGAGATACAGAAGGGGCAGTGATGAGATGGCCCGGCCCCAGCCCAGGGAACTGTGATCAGGCCAGGGAACTGCTCCCAGGGACAGTGGCCAATATAAGGGCAGGGCTCTCGGTGCCAGGCCACCTGACTCACACTGACCTGGAAGTTCTCTGGGTCCCATCTGGTCTCAACAGGCTCAGGGTTTGATGGGAACAGAGCAGCTCCGTAAGGCACAGTTGGGGAGGGCTGGGGTTTGGCGTGGGGGAAAGGACCTGGGCAGAGTCTATCTGCAAACCCTGCAGCCGTCCCAGGCCAAGGGAGACAGTGAATGGAGGGTCCCTGGCTCCCCAAGCAGTTTTGTATGTCACCCACCCAGCTCCAGACCCTGCCAGCCTGGGCCCTTGGGCTGGGTGGGGCTCAGACCTGGGGTGGGATGACATAGTCGGCAACATCCCAGAGCCGCTCCCCAAGCTCTGAGGTGTTGGTGAAGGTCACACCCTTGACCTTGGTGATGATGCTGCTCTGCAGGGATGTGTCCGTGTCTTGGTAACACTTCTTCACCAGGAATACCCAACTGTAGGGAGGGGCAAGCAGGGGGGCGTCAGCCTCATTGCTGCCCTCAGGAAGTTTCCTCAGGCCCCCAGGGTACGGAGGGGGCAGGCTTGGGGCTCCACCCTTCCCACCAGCTCCTGGGCAGGAGTCACAACTCCCTCTGCCGCCTGCAAGCAGCAGAGGTGACAAGCAACCCCAGAAGCGAGAGGCTGCTGCTCTCCCAAGCCCTGCAGCCAGGCAAGCTTGGGATGAAACCGGCTCGACCCACACTTGCCATGTGACCTCGGGTGAGCCAATGAACTCTGGGGGTCAACACAGGGCTAAGTGTACCTCCTTCCAGAGGGGTGAGGATCGTTAAAGGACATGGTGCACAGCCTGGTACTTACCATGAGGAGACCTCAGACAGACCCAAACTGAGGGGGATTCTACAAAATTAAGAGTGCAAAATCCTGTACTCTGACACCCAAAACACAAGCAACAAAAGAAAAAATAGGTAAGTTGGACTTGATCCAAATTAAGAACTTTTTTGTGCATCAAAGGACACTATCGACAAGGTGAAAAGACAACCCAGAGAATGGGAGAAGATATTTGTGAGTCACATAACTGATAAGGGTCTAGTACCCAGAATATACAAAGAAGTCTTACAGCTCAACAAAAAAGACAAGTAATCCAATCTAAATATGGGCTAAGGATTTGAATAGATATTTCTCCAAGAAAGACATAACAAATGGCCGATAAGCCCGTGAAAAGATGCTCAACATCTTTAGTCAGGAAATGCAAATCAAAAGCCACAGTGAGATAGTACTTGACACCCAATAAGACAGCTGTAATCCAAAAAATGGGAAATAACAAGTGTTGGTGAGGATGCAGAAAAATCGGTACTTGCTGGTGGGAACGTAAAAAGGTGTAGGTGCTGTGGAAAGCAGTTGGGTAGTTGCTCAAAAGGTTACCATATGACCCAGCAATTCCACTCCTCAGTATATACCCAAGAAAATTGAAATCATATATCCACACAAAAACTTACACACGAATGTTCTTAGCAGCATTATTCCTAATAGCCAAAAAGTAGAAACAATCCAAATGTCCAACAGATGAATGCATATACAAAATGTGGTGTATCCATACAATGAGATACTATTCAGCAGTTAAAGGAATAATTTACTGACACAGGCTACGGTATGTATAAATCTTGAAAACATTATGCTAAGTGAAAGAAGCCAGACAAAAAAAGGCCACATGTTGTAATGACTTGATTTATATGAAATGTCCAGAATGGGCTATAGAGACAAAAAGTAGATTCGTGGTTACCAAGGGAGGGATGGTGGTAGGGGAGAATTGCAAATGACTGTTAATAGACACAGGTTTCTTTTGGGGGTGATGGAAACGTCCTGGAATTAGATAGTGGTGATGGTTGTACAACATGGTGAATGTACTAAAAACCACTGAATTGTGTAATTTAACATGGTTAAAATGATGAATTACATGCTATGTGAGTTTTACCTCAATTTAAAAATGGTTTTTAAAAGATCCTGCACTCTCCAAAAAATGTCAGTGTCATAAGATACAAAGACGGACTCAGGAGTGATTCCAGATTAAAGGAGACATGACCACTGAACACAAGGCATGATTTCGGATTTTCTTTTCCTATAAAGGTAATTTTGGGGACAATTTACAAAAGGTCTATTGCTTGGATGATAATATTTTTATGTTAATTTCCGAATTTTCATGCTTGCACTTCATTAAATAAGAGGATTCCTTGTTTTTAAGAAATACCCATGGAAGTATTTAGGAGTCCAGAGACATCATGCCTGCAACCTACTCAACAGGAAAAAATTGCACATGTATACACACACGTGGAAAGGGATAAGGAACACACAAATGTAGTAAAATGTTAACATTTGAGGAATCTAGGTGAAGGACGTTAAAAAGAACTGTACTACTCTTAAAACTTTTCTGTCAGTATAAATTACATCAAAATATAAAAAAATAAATTTTTTTAATGAGACGGCACACGTAAATTGCTTAGCAGAGCGAGTGCCAGGCACAGAGGAGGAGCTCAATGAATATAACACATCAACTTATTACTGAGGTTACTGTTAATCAGAGATTGTCCCCTTGGTAAAGCTGGGAAAACTGCAGCCAGAAGAGGGCAGGAAGCCGCCTTCCTGAGGTCCAGCAGCAGTGCTGTGGGATGCCCTGCCTCTCCCAGGCAGCAACCAGGATGCTTCCACCCTCATCTCTGGGGGCAGAGCTGGCATGTCCTGGGCCCTAGGCTGTCCCATCTCCAAGGACCTCTGAGAGGGTTGTGACCCTTGAGCCAACCGGCCATTTTAGTAGGGACACACTGGGCCTGGCCTGGACAGAAACATTCAGCAAATACTCAAGGAACAACCACCACCACTCATTCACTCATTCATTTCACACCTGTCCCCTAAGCACTTAGGGGATAGCAGGGAGGCCCCGCCCTCATGGCAGCAGGAACATTAAGCAAATGATCCCCTGAATAAGCATGTAATTACATTGTGGGAATTCTGGGGAGGAGCATGCGAGAACCCAGGTGTGAAGGATGAGTGGGCGCTAACGACGTAGGGGAGGAAAGGGAAGCCTGGCTGAGGAGCAGTAAGACAGAAGGCCCTCAGGTGGGGGGCAGCCAGGTGTCTTAGGGATGAGGCTCGGGGATGAAGCCCGGCCTCCGGGTGGGAGTGAGGTGAGGTCAGGGCTGCCCTCCCTGGAGGAGCCTCTACTGCTCCCCAAGTCAGGAAGTAGGAGGGACTCAACAGCATTAAACTAAAGGAATAAAAGAGGCACATCCGCATCCCAGTTGTCTGGTGTCATTTCCTCTCCACCTGTCCGCTCCCTGCTTGGGGGTGAGGCCTCTGAACAGTGCCTGGCTGACCCCAAGGAGCTGCCCCTCAGCTGATGGTGCCAGCTCCTGCAGGGCGGGGGAGGGGGGCAGACAGGAGAGCTGGGTGCCAGGGAGGGTAGAGGGTTTCGGGGCAGGACCCCCAGAGAGGCCAGCCACGGGTGGGGCGAGCTGGCCAGAAGGGAGTTCTGGGCCATGCCAGGCTCATGAGTTGCCCCTGCCGGGAGACTGGCACTGAGCTCAGTGACTATAAATAAACCACCGGGGGCCGGCCTGGGCCAGCCCGGGCTAGGGCCCAGGGGGGCTGCCATGACAGCTGCAGCCCTGCCCCCTTCCCAAAGCCCTAGCACTGGCGGCCCCAGCCCTGGAGAAAGGAACTGCCCACGGAAAGCCTCACAAATGGGGGGACCCAGGAACCCCGGCGCATCTCATCACCTCAAGAGCCGCTGGGGAGTTGAGGGCTCCCTCCTTACCCCCCACCCTTAAGCCCGACGGTACAAGAAGGGCCGCCTCCCCGAGCAGGGTCCCAGTGCCCACTCACAGGGCACCCCCGGCGCCCCCCGGCCAATTCCCAGCCCCCGGAGGCCACAGCTGCGGCCCCGGCCGGCCCTTCCCCCTCCCCGAGCCCCGGAGAACTCACACCACCAGGTAGGTCAGGATGGAGACCTGCAGCAGCCGGTAGAGCAGGCCCACCTTCTTGTTCTTGGCGATGACGTACTTCTCGGTCTTGTAGTCGAAGAGCGACTGGTAGAGCCCCTTGCAGCCCGCCTGCCCCATGGCGCCGGCTCACCTGGCCCGCGATCGCGTCGCCACACGTGTACCGCATGGAGCCGCCCCCGCCGCCGCCCGGCCTCCAGTGTGGGCACCGCTGCGCCCGGGTGCGCGGCTCACCGCGCGGGGGCCGGCGGTTGACGAGGCCGCGGCAGCGCCGCCCGAGGCCAGGCGGGGGCCTCAGACTGCGACCTTGCCTCCTCCCCTGTCTGTGACAGTGACACCGCCGGACCGCCGCCCGGCCACTGGCCTGCGAGGGCCCTCCCGGCGATCGCCGCCCGGGAGGGCTGCGGTGAGAAGAGGGTCTCCTTTGGAAGCAACGCCCCCCCTTCTCCGCCCCCAAAGAAATCCAGGGGTTCCTCCTATTGAATGGCCGGGGAAACTGAGGCCAGGGGAGGGGGACCTACAACACAGGAAGTGGAGGCGAAGACGGGATAGAGCATTGACAGAAAGATACAAACAGGTTTCTGGATTTTTCTTGCTCCCTGGGGCAACCCTCGCCCTCCCCTCACAGGATGGGGGCTGGGATGAAGTGCGCGTTCCTACTGCAGCAGCTGCGGCCGGCCCGTTTAAACCCCACACTCCCCCACACTCCGGGGGAGTCAGGTGCCAGGCACTCCCCAGTGGCCAGAGCACGGAGAACTCTGTAGCGCAGGGAGGATGGGTGGGGTGGGGATGGGGAGACAGGCAGCCAAGGCCTGGGATCTTAAAGATGCCTGGAGAGAGGGCGGGGGCCAGCTGTGGAAATGCTCCCAAAGCAAGAGATGGACCTCATCTAAGCTGCTGAATCTGCAACCCCTCACGGACGGTGGAATCAAATTAGAGGCAGTGGGAACAGAGATGAGGACACCTCTGAGAAGATCAGGTTCAGAACGTGGGACAGCCATCGAGAGGTGGGGTCCTGGGTGAGCTCGGGGTGCGTGTGCACGTGTGTGCTGGGCTGTGCACGCTTGTTTTCCGCATTTCACTCGCTGCCATCCTGCAGTCTGACCGGACGTGGTCCTGCCCCTCTCCCTAGCCTGGCTCTCACACAGGAATAAGTTCCCTTCCCTGAACCATAGGCTCTGGGAGTTGGGAGCTGGGAGTTGGAAGGGACCCTAAAGTTCACCAGGTGTGACCTCCTCTCAAAGCAAAAGCCCCAGGGCAGCACGTCTCCAGTTTTAGTGAACATGGGTATCATTTGGAAGAAAAATGCAAATTCCTGGGCCCTGCCCCAAATATTTGCATTCCCTTAAGACTAGGATGGGGCCTGCAAATCTGTATTTTGCTCTCAAGCTGCCATTTCCGAAGCACAGATTTTTGCAACTGTTCATCAATTTCATTCAAATGACATTTCCTTAAAAAAAAAAAAAAAAGTCCTGTTCTTACTACCACCCACCAAAAGCGCCTCCACCCCAAGCACGTTCTATCCCATTACCCCTTCTTATTCCCTTAGAGCCCCTGTCACTCTTGAATATGATCTTATTTACTCATTGTCTGTGTCCCCCACTAAGACTGTAAGCTCCAGGAGGGCGGGGACCTTGCCTTTGGACATCTCTGCATCCCATGCCCACCGCTATGACTGCTACAAAATATGTCAGTACATATTTGTTGAGTGAAACTCAGGCCTGACTTTTTAAACAGGGAGATTTCAGCTGCTGCCCTGTTCCAGTCATGACTGGGGATTTTGGAAGCTGACATCATCCTGGGGGGAAGGCTTAGGAATTGTCACCAGGCCCCCCTTCCTCACTCTCCTGCCAGCCTCTTCCTTAGCCCTCCCCTCACACGGCTCTCCAGCACTCAGAGGAGATGCAGCCTCAATGGAGTGACATCACGCCTTATGAGGAGGCCCACCAACCTGCTCTTGTTTTCCCTCCAGTGTGGGCAGGCCCTCCTGAACCCCCCACGGCCCAGCCAAGACCAGGCTGCAGTTTCCGACAGAACTATCCAGATGCTTTACAGACCATGTGAGGGACATCCAAAGGGGAAAGCGCTGCTCTCAGGGCCAGGGCCAGGGCCAGACCCCTCCTTGTGGGCTCCCTCACAGCTTCTTAGGCTAGATCCAGACCCATCAGTGGGTCAGGACATCAGTTTACTGGGTCCCAACCAGCATATTCACAAAACGAAAATATCAGAGTGTGTTTAAGGAAGGAAGTGTAGACAGTTTGGTGAAATGTTTGTTTGAAATGTGTGTGTGCGTATAATGACGTGTAATGTATTTCTTCTTGCGGGCCATGGTCAAAACACTTCCCTGGAGCTGCAAACCTAAGTATCTACAACCTACCTCCGTATCACTGGGGCCGGCCCACCTCCCCAAGTTCAGGTCTAACTCCCATTATACCCAAAGTGGGAGAAGGGGTCCTTGCTTTTTTATTGGCCGCACACGCAGAAGTTCCCAGTACCAGGGATCAAACCTGCACCCCCTGCAGTGGAAGCGCCGAGTCTTAACCACTGGACCACCAGGGAAGTACCAGGGTCTTTGCTTTTTACGTTTGCATTATTAGAAGTTCAAGTCAGGGATGTTTCCAAATCCAAGATGAATTCTCCACCTGAATGAAAACTGCCTGCTGTCTTTGAGTGGTTTTTCCAGTCTCTACCTAAACCCATCTGAGCAGGCACCCTGTTCAAATGATCTTCACCACCACTACTGTGCGAATGCTTATCAGCTTAGCAAGTAGTAAGTCAGGGGTCAGGGGTGAATGGCTAGTTCTCAAAGTAGTCAAAGCCCCCTTCCCTCTCCTCCCCCCAAGGCATCCACATCATCCTTCATTATAATGACTGTCGTCCACCTTAAAGAAAGGGGCTGGCAGTGAAGGGATTGACCAACCTCATCTGGTTCGTAAGACTGTCTCCTTGGATGATTTAAGGTAGCTGCAGTGAAGTGATGGGGAATTATTAAATGAACTCAAACACTATTCTCCGGGCTTCCCTGGTGGCGCAGTGGTTGGGAGTCCACCTGCCAGTGCGGGGGATGCGGGTTCATACCCCGGTCTGGGAGGATCCCGCATGCCGTGGAGAGGCTGGGCCCATGAGCCATGGCTGCTGAGCCTGCGCGTCCGGAGCCTGTGCTCCGCA